TCAAAAGCCTTTTCTTTCTCTAATATGGGATAATGTCCCTTTGTCAAGGAGGGAAACTCAAATATTTTATTTTCCTTTCATTTCTCATTTACCCTCTTTAAGCTACACAAGCTTACTATTCCAACATGTACAACGTTTGATGGATCACCTTTACTGCTTTTGTTTTTTAAGATATCTGTTGGATATGGTTTTTATATTAGCTAATCAAATATAATTCATCAGTTTTATGAACTTGAATTTTTTTCTTATAGCTTTTTATTTTATAATTCAAGAATATTCTTTAATAATATTTAAATTCAACTTAAAATTCATCATTTTGAGGAACTTGAATTTTTCTTCTTTACCTTTTATTTTATAACTCAAAAACGTTCTTTAATAATATTTAAATTAAGATTAAAATTCATCATTTTCTGAAACTTGAATTTTTTTCTTTAGCTTTAATTTTAATTATAAATCCAAAATGTTCTTTAATAGTCTATTTAAATTTTCAGGAACTTGAGTTTTTTCCTCATTAATATATCGGCAAAGGGTCAAATATATCCTTGTAATATATCGGCAAAGGGTCAAATATATCCTTGTACTTTCAAAAATGGTATAAGAATACCCCTCGTTATATTATTGGGTTATCTATACCCCTGCAGTCATACTTTGGGTTCAAATATACCCTTCATTTAAACGGAGAGATACGTGTTATCGGCTTGTTGGCCAATTCTAAATATCTCCTAATTAATTAAAAAGTAATTTTCTAAAACAATTTATTTTTTGTTGTAAAAACTAAAATAATTTTTACTAAAAATGAAAAAAACAAAAATAATTTTTTTTTCCAGTTTTTACAAAAAAACTGCTTTAAAAAAAAACTGAAAAGCAATTTTCTAAAGCAATTTTTGTAAAAACTGGAAAAAACTGAATTTGTTTTTACTAAAAACTGAAAAAATCGAAAATATGTTTTTCCAGTTTTTAGAAAAATATTGCTTTTTCATTTTTTAAAAAATGAAAAATAATTTCTAAAGCAATTATTTTTTGTAAAAACTAAAAAAAAACTGAAAAGCAATTTTCTAAAGCAATGTTTTTGTAAAAACTGAAAAAACAAATATTTTCTTTTTTTCAGTTTTTAATTAAAAAAAATCAGTTTTTTTCAGTTTTTAATTGCTTTAGAAAATTATTTTTCAGTTTTTGTTTCCAGTTTTTACAAAAACATTGTTTTAGAAAATATTTTTCAGTTTTGTTTTTAAAGCAGTTTTTTTGTAAAAACTGAAAAAACAAATATTTTCTTCTTTTTTTTCAGTTTTTAGTAAAAAAAAAAATTCAGTTTTTTCCAGTTTTTACAAAAAAAAAAAAAATTGTGTTTAAAAAATTACTTTTTAATTAATTAGGAGATATTTAGAATTGGCCAACAAATCGATGACACGTGTCCCTCCGTTTAAATGAAGGGTATATTTGAACTCAAAGTATGGCTGCAGGGGTATAGATAACCCAATAGTATAACGAGGGATATTTTTAGACCATTTTCGAAAGTACAAGGATATATTTGGACCTTTGCCATTAATATATATATGGGGTACACGCGCGTGGCATTCTACAAAAAATTAATGCTATTAAATACTCCCTCTGATCTCTTTTGCTTGTTATGTTGAAAGGATATTTTGAGTATTTATTCTTTGCTCTCAATTTATTGCTACTATTGATTTCAGTATATTAATCTCTCTCCACATTTGAGGACAAATAATTATCCCTAGTATAGTTTCACAAAGGCATTCTACAAAAAAATGCTGGCCAGTGATAAATGAAAGCTTTAGGCTTCTTTTACAGTCGAGGAAGGTTTGAAAGAAGCCAGAATGCTACTGAATACATACATTGCTGCTCTAATTCCAAAGAAGAATGGTGCCATGGAGCTGCAAGATTTTAGACCATTAGCTTGACTGGTAGTGTGAGAAAAATAATCTGTTAACAGAGATCCAAGAACACACAAAAGGGAGACAAATTTTGGATGCAACTTTAATTGCTAACGAATGTCTAGATAACAAGAAAAAGGTTAAAGATTTGCAAACTGGGATTCTCTCTTTTCATTGCTTAAAGATTTAGTGTTTGGTACTAAATGGAGAAGTTATGTGGCCTACTGCGTAAGCTCATTGTCGGCTGAAAGGTTTTTAAGTGACCAACAATGCTCAGAACATGTCCATCTCACATCAACACCTTTTACATGCCAGATATGGAGCAACTTAGGCATCTGAGACTGATTCTCACAGTTTTTGAAGCAGTCACACATTAACTGAGTTGAATAAAGTTCCAAATGGAGTATTTCAAAACTGGCTTGCTTCCGCCAAATGTAAAGCTGATATCATCTGGCAAGGCATTATTGAAAAGGCTATCCAACTGAAAGAAGCATATATATCTAACACTTGGGGCCACACTTGTGCTCATTAATAGTGTCCTGGACTCACTCCCCTCATATGTCAAGCTACTATTTCCCATGCCTGTCAAGGTTCAAAACAAACTGAACCAGCTGAGAAGCAATTTTCTTCTTTGATGAAGTGCTTTCAAGCAATTTCTACGGCAAGGTAATAACGATTAGAAAGCTTTCCATTTGGTCAACTGAAAGACTTGCACTCTACCTAAGAAACTTGGTTCCCTGGGAATAAAAAATCTGAGATTACAAAATCAAAGTAGCTCTCGAGATTTAACAATTCAGAAACACCATTGTGGAAGAAGGTGATCAAAGAAAAGTATGGTCTAAAGGCATCAGAAAGAATACTAGCACACACTTAGTTTTGTTTTTATCATCAATGAAACATCACTTATCATTCTCAAAGAAATAGAATGAATGGAACCATATGGAGATGAGATAATGGAAACATACACTAATTTAAGAAAATACACAGATGTGTCTCACGAGTGTATTAATACTACAAAACGACGTGAAGATTCTACAATTCCCTTAAAGCTATGATGTTAGGACATTTTATCAGTTTGATCTTATATTTGGATACACGAACCAAGTCAACAACCAAAGATGGCAAACTTGAGATTTACACTAAATAGGAAAGCATGATCAACTTTTTCTCATTTCAGTATGCTTTTTTCAATGTTAATAGCTCAGCTAATGATCTACTAAAGCAAACAAGCATGGAGAGATGTTACCAAATGAAGGAAAGCTAAGCACAAGTGCTTATTGAAAAAAATGGGCAAAGCTAAGACAAGGAAGATATCAACTGAAAGTCACGTACTACAATTAGTATATCAGTATTATCAGTAACGAAGCCAGGAATTTCCTCAAGGGTGTTCAAACTTAAAAGAATTGAAAAAATTTCTCCGACAAAGAGTGTTCAATATATGTTTTATACCTCTAAAATCTAATATTTTACCTATATACGCAGTATAGTTTTTCGGCGAAGGTTGGTCAATTGACCACTCTTTAAGACATGCAGCTTCGCCCCTGAGTACTATAAAGATCCCATATAAAAAATCGTCAAAATTATGATTTGGATGGAATTGAAATAATCAAATCCACATGCACTATAACTGATGCTAGCCATCTCCATCTACTAGAGCAAACCCAGCATTTATTTTCTAAACCACTGAAAATTTATTTAATTTATCTCTTCTTTTGATGCAAAAGCTAAATATATATCAGTAATGACCTGTATTTAAAAAAAAAAGAACTACAAGGCACCAGGAGAAGAGATTCTGAATTGTAATCATGAGATGCTGGTCATACCTTGCCAAACTCAATGGATCCCGAACATCCATCCCGCCTTTGATCAAGTCTCAGTTAAAGATAATTCTGCTCCGCATAACATCAATTCAGATAATGTGTACTTCCATAGTGGACATCCCGAACATCAGTTAAGGAAGAAAAGAATAAGATGCTAAAGCACAAAAAGAGCAAACTGACGAATACAAACTGCTATACCTCTCTCTTCAACTGTATTACACACATGGAGGTCAGATTAGTAACTATCTCTAGGGGCAGGGATGGTGGGTGCTTACTGCTTAAAGTGGATGTAGTGAAATATTTGAAGCAAACAAAACTTGATCTTGCAAGTAAACTAGAACTACGGAAAAAAAATAGAGGAGGAAGAAGAAGAAAACATGAGGCATTACATTATATTGCCGTTGCCACAGTAGGATGGCCTATAAGATGGCATCCTTCAAAGCTTAAAGAAGACACTTCTGTCTGCAAGGTTTCAAGTTCATGATCGTAAACGCGTCCACATTGTTAAGACAGGAATGCAAAAAACAAAACTGCAGAAGCTTCTATTTGAACCATGTCAGTTTTGAATGCATAAAGCATTATATACCAGAAAAGTTAGGTAAGATGGCTTCAATAATTGTACGTTCAGTTCTTTCACAAAGTTCTTATATTATTGCATCTGAATGGCAACAAGGAGATGTGTTACGTATTCATGTTAGATCATGTGAGCACATAACTCCAGGAAAAGAAAAAAGACAACACAGCATGGATCAAAGTGCTGTGCTGTTTCAGTAGTAAAGTTCTAACAAAGACAAGCATTTTAAGATACTGCAAAGCTTTCCACCTTGCAGGAGTTTTTCTACCCTTAGGCTTCTATCATTATTTAACTATAACAGAAGAACAGTTAAACAGTACTTTCTCCTTTTCATCAACAAGCCTAATACAAAGTAAATCAAAGTAAGAACAAGCTGCAATCTAGTCACAGTAGAAATGACATAAACATCAGAGGGTGAGAGCTATTGATCAATAGCAGGGATGATTACACATCGACATATCACAGGCTTCTAGCATCAGCTGCATAAATCTTAAGAAAGGGCTCACGAGGATTAGCTTCCCGCTCATCCCAAGCCAAGAAGATTGCTAATTGTCAATGCACAATTTCGTTCTCAGATTGGTTAAATGATTCTTTTACCTTTTTTTTTTTTTTTTGATAAATAATTCACATGAGAAAATCTTTTGATTGAAAAAAGTATATTATCATGTGAATCATTACATAAGAATGTTACAAGGGCCTTAGGCAAACTAGAAAAGCAGCAAAAGAATTCAACTAATATTGAAAGATATTAGCATTTATACCCAATTCACGAATGTTACAAAGTAAACTACAATGAGACAGTGCGTCTATAAAGTGTTTCATCATCACTTTCCTCCTCTTCTGATACGATCTCATTGCCTGGTAGCTCTAACTTCCCACCCATATAAAATGACGGACCAGAACTTTCAGGCTCTATATAATCACCATACAATCTCTCTTCAAATCTTTGGTCACTACAATTGAGAAACCAAGCCAAAGAACATCTGATTCCTTTGCTTTGCAACCTCTGGTACCTGGGTTTGATTCTCGATTCCAAGCTGTATGTGAAGTAGTCCGGGAAGTCCACAAGTTCGTTCATTGGTCTACCCATATCATTCTTGAAAAAGTAATAGCTATTTTTCATGAGGCCAACTTGCAAAGCAACTAACTGAGGACATTTAACAATCATCTTCGCCACATCATCAGCTGAAAATCCCCGTCCAAGAAGGAACTCAACAGGTTTCATTATCACATGCTGGTGTAGGCTAACAATTTGCGGCATCTTCTCGATTATTCGAGCAAAACCATCAGGATCAATCTTGAGCTTTAAGTTAAAGAAATACTGTTGCGACGACAGCTTAGCCTTCAAAGGCAAACCAATAATTTGTGGATATTGTGCAATAACAGAAGGCAAAGCATCCTTCCTAATTCCAAAACTGAGTAAGCAATTCACATTAGGTTTCACCGTCTCTTCAAGATCATAACCAAGTAGATATGCTCGCTTCTCCAACATCCTCGCCAAGATTTTCTTTGGCAAACCCAACGAAACCAAATAATCCACAAGTGGTTTAATCGTCGTCCCAACTCTCATTCCAAGAAAATATGGATATTGTGTTACCATCGGCCCTACATCCCTCGGATTAACCCCTATACTAACCAAGTAAGCAACTGAAGTACTCATTGTTCCCTCAAGCTTAAACCCTAACAACTCAGGATATTTCATCAAAACATACCCAATATCTTGTTTCTCAACATCAAGACCTCGTAGAAATTTAATAACCGGAACAAGCTCCACGACGACACTAGCGTGTAGACATTGGGGGTAGTTCTTAACAAACTCACCAAGCCTAGACTTTTGAATCCCAATTTTTTCCAAGTATGACAAAACAGGAATAATGTTTTTCCTCACACTACAACCAAGCATTAAAGGGTATTCATTAATATCATCAACTGTCAGTCCAATTTTCTGCAAGAACTCAACGCGTTCGCGCATAACTTCAACGGTTGAGGGTAATTCTAACTCCTCTAATTCATCAGGGATAATTCCTATACTTTTCAAATAATCACAGATTATGACACGTGACACCAACTTTTCTTTACGGCCTTGGATTACACCCCATGTTACAGTTGGCATTTCATATTCAGGGAATTTCGACGAATGGGTCGAAAAGTATATTTGGTTTAGTACCCTAGGGAGGAAGTAAGTAGATGAGGTTTGAGGGTTTTTGTAGGGTTTAAGGGTTGGTTTCGTAAAAAATGGGTCTTTGGGGGTTCTGAGGATTGATTTTAAGGATTGGTTTCTTCTTAATATTGAGGTCATTTCAGTGAAGAAGCAAAGATCATTCAAGAATCGAAATGAATTCACCTGAAAATGGAATGTATGGAAACTCAAAGGCGTAAAAGCCTTACCTTTGTTGAAGCAGAACGAAGCTGCTATCCATTAAACTTCAATGGGAATGGGAATACTGAGGAGGAAGAAAGAAGAGCAATTTTGACCTCAATATGGACTCATGGGCTGGGCCATCAATACATGGACCGATTGTGTTGGGTTCATGTTAGACATCGAACAGCAGCCTTTTTAAATCATGGGACAGCTTCAAGAATTAAGGCCTTCACCTCATAAAAATTGGGGTGAAATAAAATTAAAAAAAGATTTACAAGTGGTAATTGAAAAATAGCCACAGTTTCAAAAGTAATCGAAATTTAGCAACTTTTCATGTAAAGATAAATCTGAACGAAAACACTTCAAAATTCGAAAAATATTCCAGCATAATATGTTGCAAGTTCATACACAGATGCTCCAATCTCCAGTATATTATGCTGGAATTTTCCGTGTGTTGGAGTTCCAGTATAATATGCTGCAAGTTCATACACAGGTGCAACAATCTCCAGTATATTATGCTGGAACTTTCCGTGTTACAGCAAAATAGTGGCTATTTTTCAATGACTTTGCATACGCAGACTATTTTTCAATTATTATTAGTCCGAAAACTAGCTAGCCTGTGCTATTTTCACTAAAACTTAAATTGGGGTAAACTACACAATATGCCCATAAAGCTTAAATTTATTACCCGTATTTATCCAAGCCCAAATCTATTACGTTTTCATAAAGATTGCAACGGGGCACCCTATTTGGTCGCCCTCATTTTACCTATACTCATATTTTTAAAATTCTTTAACATATACCTTAATTTTGACAACTTCAGACGCCTCCTCTTCTTCCTCCTAACCTATGCGCTACTTTCTTCCTCCTCTTCTTTTCCTCTTCTTATTTTCTCTCTCAAACACATGAGACTTTGTATAAGTATTATTGATTGGATCTATAAAGTTTTTATTAAATCTTATCAACTACCATATTCTATGTTGACGGGCGAGTAAATAAAACTCCACAAGCTGGTTAAAGTAGGTGTGATTTGTGTCTTTCCCAGATCCATCCTTCTTAAACATATAACAGCAACTGACTACTACATGTCCTCTCTTCCAAGTTACCTGCCACAAGAATGACACATGCATGTGAAATTTATTATACATAATAGTTGCTCTCGCGATCTCTTGGAATTAGCTTATCCCTTGCTTTATGATATCATCTGCAGGAAAAACGACAGAAAAGGGCTGCAGAAGTGAAAAATAAAAGATAGAAAAAATAACTTCAGAACATTATAAAAAAATCAGTTAAAACTTCAGCACAATTTTGCTTAAGTTATAATTTAAAGCCATCTAACTTCAAAGAAAGGCAGAACACAACTTCAGCTCTAAGACTGCTGAAGTTTACCAAATATAAAACATAAGCTTTAGCTCCTAGAATGCTGAAGTCCAGCAAATACAAAACAAAACTTCATGTCACGACCCAATTTCACCTAAAGGTTGTGATGGTGCCCAACGCTATAGCTAGGCAAGCCAACTAATAAATTAAACATATATCGATTAGATTTAAATCCAAGAAAATAATAAAATCATCAAGTTCTACTAATATGTGTGCCAAGACCTGGTGTCACAAGTGTATGAGCATCTAGTAGATTATACAAAACTCCAAATACTGTCTGAAATGAAATAGACAGAAATATAAATATAAGAAGAGACATTGGTAGCTGCAGGACGGCTCAGAAAACTCACCACTATGCCTCGAGATGACGTGGATATGTGATGATAGGTCCTCCACTAGTACCTGTCTCATATCCTGCACAAAAAGTACAGCAAGTGTAGTATAAGTACGTAAACAACACGTACCCAGTAAGTATCAAGCCTAATCTCGAAGTGGTAGAGACGAGATAGCCGACTTTGACACTCACTATGGGTCAATAATAATTAATTGAAATAAAACTAGAATATCTAAATCAACATGATTCACAGAATTTACAATAATTTACTTAACCAGCAGAAATAATTAAATTCCTTCAATTCCAAAAAAATTTCAATTTATTAATTAATCTCATTTTCAGAAACAACAATAATTCATTAACAAACAGGAAAAATAATTGTTTAAATTTCAAAGATTTCTAATTTATCAATTAGCTTCGCAAGCTGCAATAAACTATCAAAGTATCATGTAATTATTATTATTAAGCACGATTTCTGCCAAGGACGTACCACCCGATCCAGAGTGTCGTGTACACTGCCGAGGAACGTGCGGTACGATCCATAGATGCATCTATCCTGCCGAGACGTTCGGCCCGATCCACAAGAAAGGAGGACATTTTTCTATGTACCTCCGGGATAAGAGTAATTATTGTAAAATTTATTCGAGAGGATAAAAATTTATTTCAATAATTAATTAAGCATATGTAGATTTCATATTTTACTACCTTTCATAACAAATTCACAATATATACCTCAAATAATTTAATTAATAAAGGACAGAATTTACATAATTAATTCATGCTTTGAGTCCTAAACTACCCGGACTTTAGCAATAATAGTAGCTACGCATGGACTCTCATTACCTCGTGCGTACGTAGCTCCCGCAATTAGCAATAATTATTTAATTTAATCCCTATGGGTAATTTTCCCCTCACAAGATTAGATAAGAGACTTACCTTGTCTCAAAGTCCACTTTCCGATTACCGCATCGCGTAAAATTCTCGATTCGGCACCAAAAAATCCGAAACTATTCAAATATTATACAAAATAATTAATATATACTCAATAACTTGAAATTCATTTATTAAATGAATTACCCTATCCAAAATGGTAAAATTTCTAAAATTCACCCCTGGCCCACGTGCCCGGATTCCGAAAATAATAAGATGAAAACGTCACTCATAATCTCAAGAACTCAAATATATAATTTATATCCAATTCCATAACTATTTTCGTGGTTAAAATCTCATTTTTATAAAAAAAACTAGGTTTTTCATCTAAACTTTTGATTCCTAAGATTTACTAGTTATAATTTACCCATAATCTATGTATCTCAAGGTGTGTAGAATTAACTTACCTTAAATTGCTAGTTGAAATCCCCCTCTCGAAAGCTTTGAAATCGCCCGAAAATAGAGGGAAAATGTGCTCAAAATGTCAGAGCCCAGACTTTTTAACCATTCTGTCCAAAAGTGAAAATCGCATCTGAGGCTCATAAGCTGCTTCTGCGGCTCCGCATCTGCGGAAATTCCCTTGCATATGCGGTTTTCTCTTAGCTGGCTTCACTCGCACCTGCAGTCAGCAGCTCGCTTCTACGGCTTGTACATCGCACCTGTGATGCGCTTCTGCGCTTGTACCTGCGCATCTGCGCCCTTTCTGCTTCTGCGGTGCTCTTCACGCACCTGCGGCTGGCCAAGCGCAGGTGCGGTAATAGCAGAAGCTGAAAGCTTCAGCTGTGACCAAGGTTCAAAAATTGATCCGAGCCTTGACCGATTAACGCTCGGGGCCCCCGGGGCCCCGCCCGAACATACTAACAAGTTTGAAATCATAAAACGGATTTTCTTGAACTCTCAGAACGTGTAAAACAACATCAAATCTAATAATCATACCCCAAACCAAATTGATTCAAACTTATGAACTTCAAGTTCTTCAATTTACTTCCAACGTGCCGAAACATACTTAAACTACTCGGAATAACACGAAATTTTGCGTACAAGTCTTAATTCACTATACGGAACTATTCCAAAACTCAGAACTCCAAACGGACTTCAATTACTCAAAAACCTACTCCAAACCAAATTTAAAGGACTTTAAAACCTTCAAATAGTTAAGTTTTCACTATTAAGCGCCAAAACGCTCCTGGGTTATCCAAAACCCAATTCGGACATACGCCCAAGTCCGAAATCATCGTACGAACCTATTGGAACTGTCAAATCCCGATTCCGGGATCTTTTTCTCAAAATATTGACCGAAGTCAAACTTGGCCATTTAAAGCCAACGTAAGGAACCAAGTGTTCCGATTTCAACCCAGACACTTTCAAATCCCCAACCAACTATCCCCGCGAGTCATAAATCAATTAAAGCATGTTCAGGGAGTTTTATTTTAGGGAATGGGTTTATAAAAGTTAAAATGACCGGTTGGGTCATTACATTCCCCACCTCTTAACAAACGGTCGTCCTCGAACGGGTTTAGAATAATACCTGGAGTGCTAAATAAGTGTGGATATTTGTTCTGCTTGTCCTCCTCGGCCTCCCAAGTTGCTTCCTCAACTGGTTGGCCCCTCCACTGGACTTTTACTGCAGAAATCGTCTTGGACCTCAACTGGCGAACCTGTTTATCCACAATGGTAAATGGCTCCTCTTCATAACCCAAGCTATCATCTAGTTGAATTGTGCTGAAGTCTAACACATGTGACAGGTCAACATGATACTTCCGGAGCATAGATACATGGAAAACCGGATGAACTCCCGATAGACTGGGAGGTAATTCAAGCTCATAAGCCACCTCCCCAACTCGTCTCAACACGTCAAATGGGCCTATAAACCTTGGGCTCCATTTCCCCCTTTTCCCCAAATCTCATGATTTCCTTCATCGGCGAAACTTTCAAGAGAACTTTTTCACCTATCATAAATGATAAATCACGCGCTTTCTGATCCGCGTAACTCATATGTCTGGACTGTGTTGTACGAAGTCGCTCCTGAATCAACTTTACCTTTTCCAAGGCATCCTTCACCAAATCAGTACCATATAACTTAGCCTCACTGGGCTCAAAACATCCGATGGGCGAACGACATCGCCGACCATATAAAGCCTCAAATGGAGCCATCTCGATGCTGGATTGGTAACTGTTATTATAAGAAAACTCTACCAAATGCAAGAAACGATCCCACTGACCTCCAAAGTCAATCACACATGCCCTGAGCATATCTTCCAAAATCTGAATTGTCCGCTCTGACTGTCCATCGTTCTGCGGATGAAAAGTCGTGCTGAGCTCTACACGGGTCCCCAATTCACTCTGTACTGCTCTCCAGAAATGTGAAGTAAATTGAGGGCCTCTATCCGATATGATGGAAATTGGCACACCGTGCAACCGAACTATCTCCTGAATATAAATCTTGGC